GAGGGAACAGTATGTAAAGCTCGTTCAAAGAGCATTTAAGGAACTGAGTATTTATAGGCAGTTTAACAAAGAAAGGTTAGAATAAATTACTTAGCTTAGAAACAAAACTGATTCATGTTTTAGCAGGGCATTAGATAGCCTTTGGGATTATCTCTTTTGCTAGAGAGAAATCATTTACATCTTTATTAAACACAAATCTACAAGTTAACTTTATAGAGTCTGAGTCTCTAATAGTTAATTAGAACATTCAGACTTCTCTTAGAAAATAAAATAATCCTTGAGAGGATTGTTAAACAATGCTTCAATGTGACATTGAAAGGACAGGCAGGTATCATTTTGGCCTTGTTACCTTCTTTTGTGTGATTTTGCTTAAGAAGTGTGAGCAGGAAACTTTTGTTGTATCCTGTGTACCTTTGGTTTTCTAACTTTTGCATGGTACAAAGTATGATGACAGGGTTCAGGGCATGCTAGCCCAAAATATGGCACCTAGGCATATTGAATGGGCTTCCCTGGTGGCTTAGATAGTAAAGAATCCACCTGCAATGCTGGAGACCTGAGTTCAATCTCTGGGTTAGGAAAATCCCCTGAAGAAAGGCATGGCAACTCACTCCAGTTCTCTTGCTTGGAGAATCCCCATGGACAGAGGAGCCTGGCAGGCTACATTCCATGGGGTCGCAAAGAGTGGACATGACTGAGCGACTAAGCATATTGAATATCTTAAGCTGAAAGAGTTTGAGACAACAGTAGGAGCAGAAAAGTCACTATGACACTCACCAGTCTCCATGTGAAAGGTACCCTCCCTGTACCAGAAGGAAGGAAGATATTCTTATCACCAGAAATAGGAAATTCGGGGTTGAGAAATCTTTACAAACAAACCATGTCAAACTAACCCTTGCCTTCTCAGTTATATTTTCACCATTTATTACCCCAGCCCAAACCCCTCTGCCTTGTCAAATCTTCACAAATGTATTGTTTCTTTGCCCAAAATGTATGAAAGCATCTTGCTCTGGTCACTTCTTTGGATTTTCATTCTTCATTCTTTTGCTCTTTCTCCATTTTTCAGACTTATTGTTTGGAATCACAGAAGCAAATCAACTTCATTATTTATATCATGTTTCATTTTCAATCAAAAGGAAATTTCTCAGTTTGTCTTTACATCTTATATACTCATATTGAGTCCTAAATGATTTTTAGCTGCTTTCAGAAACCAAATTTCCTCTCAAAAGATGATTCAGGCTAGGAATTCCCTGGTGGTTTAGTGGTTAGGACTAGTTGCTTTCACTGACAGGGCCAGGGTTTGATCTCTAGTCAGGGAACTAAGATCCCACAAGTTGTGCAATGCAACTGAAACAAAATACCGCCCCCCCCCCCAAAAAAAAAAAAAAAAGATTTAGGCTTTAGTATTGTTCAGGCTGTAATTCAACATATTCCTTCCGAACCACTGATGGAGAGACTGGGCGCCCTCTGCTGATTGGCTCCAGAAAACTGTTACTGTGGTTGACTGGTTTTCTGTCTTTCAAGTTAGTGGTGTTCTTAAAGGTTATTGGGAATGAATTAATTCTCCCACGTGACTCTAAAGAGCTGCCTCTTCCTGTCTTCCTTCTTGGTTACTCCTCTTCTCTGCTTTTGTCTGTTGCTGTTTGTCTGCTGCCAATGAACCATCTGATTATTTGCCAACTGTTCACTTGTCAGGTACCTGAAAGTTAACTGAAGTTGGCTGAGGGAGGCTGGATTGCCTGGGATGGGTAAAGTGAGGTCAAGTGAGTGCAGTGGATTGTGTGAGTGTGAATATAGTTCCATTTCTGTCCTACAGAGTGAATAGTAGGTGCTCTGATTACTGCCTGGAGACAGTGCTGACTTGAAGAGCTACAGTGAGCTCAATGTGGAGAGGGTGTTAGAACTTGTATGCATAAGAGGAGTCCAAGAAAATGTTTTGGGGCTTATTTATTTCCTCTTATGTTATTATATGTATGTACTGATATTAAACTAGAAAATGCCATCTCTGAAAGTCAGTCCTGGAGGAAGCATAAGCTGGACTCAAGATTGCCGGGAGAAATATCAATAACCTCAGATATGCAGATGACACCACCTTTATGGCAGAAAGTAAAGAGGAACTAAAAAGCTTCTTGATGAAAGTCAAAGAGGAGAGTGAAAAAGTTGGCTTAAAGATCAACATTCAGAAAACTAAGATCTTGGCATCCGGTCCCATCACTTCATGGGAAATAGATGGGGAAACAGTGGCTCACTTTATTTTTCTGGGCTCCAAAATCACTGCAGATGACGATTGCAGCCATGAAATTAAAAGACGCTTACTCCTTGGAAGGAAAGTTATGACCAACCTAGATAGCATATGGAAAAACAGAGACATTACTTTGTCAACAAAGGTCCGTCTAGTCAAGGCTATGGTTTTCCAGTGGTCATGTATGGATATGAGAGTTGGACTATAAAGAAAGCTGAGTGCTGAAGAATTGATGCTTTTGAACTGTGGTGTTGGAGAAGACTCTTTTTTTTTTCCCATTTATTTTTATTAGTTGAAAGCTAATTACTTTACAATATTGTAGTGGTTTTTGCCATACATTGACAAGAATCAGCCATGGATTTACATGTGTTCCCCATCCCAATCCCCCCTCCCGCCTCCTTCCCCACCCGATTCCTCTGGGTCTTCCCAGTGCACCAGCCCTGAGCACTTGTCTTATGCATCCAACCTGGGCTGGTGATCTGTTTCACCCTTGATAGTATACTTGTTTCAATGCTGTTCTCTTAGAACATCCCACCCTCGCCTTCTCCCACAGAGTCCCAAAGTCTGTTCTGTACATCTGTGTCAAAGATATGGAACGCTTCACAAATTTGTGTGTCATCCTTGTGCAGGGGCCGTGCTAATCTTTTCTGTATCGTTCCAATTTTAGTATATGTGCTGCCGAAGCGAGCACTGGAGAAGACTCTTGAGAGTCCCTTGGACTGCAAGGAGATCCAACCAATCCATCCTAATGGAGATCAGTCCTGGGTGTTCATTGGAAGGACTAATGTTGAAGTTGAAACTCCAATACTTTGGCCACCTGATGCAAAGAGCTGACTCATTTGAAAAGACCGTGATGCTGGGAAAGATTGAGGGCAGGAAGAGAAGGGAGTGACAGAGGATGAGATGGTTGGATGGCATCACCGACTCAATGGACATGGGTTTGGGTGGACTCTGGGAGTTGGTGATGGACAGGGAGGCCTGGCATGCTGTGGTTCATGGGGTCGCAAAGAGACACGACTGAGTGACTGAACTGAACTGAACTGAACTGAAGCTTAGTCCTTTCAAAAAAGAGACTTCCCCTACACTTGAAAAATTTCTTTTGGTGGATATAAATCTTCCGAAATTGTATAACAGAAGTATCTTATTGTAATGCTGAGCTTTGAGCAGATTTTATTGTTGAACAAGAAACTTTTACAGCTGGTTTATTTTTGATTTCCTTGAAAGAACTTAGGAAATGTGGTTTTCCTCCTAATGCTTCTTTAATATTGTCAATTTCATTTAAATTATACTTTTATGTTTAAAAATATGAATTATATAATAAGTGATAAAAATTAAAATGACTTTAATAATATTTCTAAATGTTATGGGACTATGAATCACCCTTGGGACCTGTGTTTCATTGTCAATCAAGGAGGTGGATGGACCCCGAGCTGCTGCTCTGAGAGTCATCTTGGGTCTTTACAGTTTCTCCTGTCCTTTCACTGACCCTACCCAGGACTGTACTGTGCAGCAGATCACTTCTCCATTGTCAAGGGCTTTATAGTTAATGATATTGTTTAAGAATCATTAGGACCAGGTGGCCTCTATGCTCTAATAGTCCCCAAACAATAAGGAAAACCTTCCTTGATGTATTCTAGTACTCATGAGACTAGTTAACTTGTTCAAAAATCTTAACTTAGGAATGCGTGTCCTGTTTCCAAGGACATATGCTCATAGCCTAGGTAAACTGTAAAAGTGTCCCAAGACCCCTTTGGTGGTATGGAGTGCAGCTGTGAACACTTCGGGATCATTGTCTGCTTGATCCAGATCCCACCCTGTGAGTAAGCTGCCTTGTAATATGTGATCCAGTGATTACATGGAGGTGTCCACCTCATTTTTCAGTCTCAAGATACCTTCTCAGTTTGGTGGGCACTTTTTGTTCCTTCCATCCTCCAACAACACTGCTCCTACTGGTTAGTTTTAGTTGGTTTTGAAGATCTGGAATTAGGTGCTTCTTTGCCCAGGGCTTGTTGTCAATAAAACCCTAGAGACACATCAACAAGTTATGTCAGGAGGTCCACTGTTAATGATGGAGAATAATTCTTCCTTTGGTATTTCTGGCTTGCTGCATCCTGGAAGGTCTGTGTGAAAGCATGTGAGTGGTGCCATGGTGATGGCAGCGATGGTGGTGGCAATGGCCTCAGGTCTTGGGGGGAGAGGGGAACACAAGGTCAAAAGAGGGATCCTAGTTGGAAGGTGCTACCAGGTGGGCCACAGACAGCTGAGGCCATACTCTCTGATTAGGCAACAGGGAATAGAGCCAGGCCATAGTTTTCCAATCCTTTTAATTCAGAGAGTTTAAAATGTCCTCAAACTCTTCAGCTGTTAATAGTTAATTAACTATGTAAGTAACACCCTATATTGTCTCACTTCATGTTTACTTTTGAGGTAGGTAATATTCTTGTCGCCTCATTTTCCAGATGAGGACACTTGAGAATCACAGCGGCTAAGTAACTTGATCAAAGCTTCACAGTTAATGGCAGAGCTGGGATTATAATTCAGGTTGAATTCTAGAGTTAGCGCTTTCCATCAGTACTCCTGGCTCCCAGTTGCTGATCAGTTGTATATATTCTGACTGCCACATGGATTGTCTTATAAAATTATATGTTGGTGGACAGTCCTTGTTCATTTGCAGAGCTGAAGTAGTCTGAAGTAATTTATCAAGTTGGCAGAAGAAAGGAATGTGGGTAGAAGAGAGACAAGGAATGTCAGCCAGTGAAGCCACTGTTTAGTCATCAAATATTTATTTTGCAGTATTTTTATCAGGCAGTGTTTTAGCTGGACAAGATGATGGTTCCTCTCAAGAACCCACCATTTATTAGGAGATGGACACAAAAAGAGAATTACATTAATGTTATTGTAAGATCAGAACAATGATGGAGTAGTATGTGAGATGGCAGTCATGAAAAATGAAAGAAAGTGGAAGTGTTAGTTACTCAGTCATGTTCAACTCTTCTGCAACCCCATGATCTGTAGCCCACCAGGTTCCTCTGCCCATGGAATTCTCCAGCAAGAATACTGGAGTGAGTTGCCATGCCCTTCTCCTGAGAATCTTCCCAATCCAGGAATTGAATCTGAATCTCCTGCATTGCGAGCAGATTCTTCACCATCTGGACCACCAGGGAAGCCCAGTCATTATGTAGTGGCAGTCAACTCTGCTTTGGGGACTCAGAGAAGGCTTCACAAAGGGAGATAATCAAGCTCACCCTAGAAAGACAGTCAGGTGTGAATTTGCATAGCTGGAAAAGGCAACAGCTTATGCCAAAGTGAGGAGGTATGAGGGCTAGATGGTAGGATTTTGAAGAGGAGGAGTGGTTACAGCTCAGGATTCCGGTGACCTGGGCAAATGGACTCAGATCAGGAAGAGTCTCCTCTTCAAGGCTAAGGAATTTATTATCTCTAATCCAGGGAGAAACTTTGCAGGATTTTTAAACTGGAAAGCAACATGTCTGCTCTGGATCCTTTCTGGTTGTCCTTCCACATACACTCTCCATCACCTTTGCTCTGCACTGTGGCCTAGGAGGCTGACCTCCACAGGAAACATCAGTTGGTGTATCATATCCTAAGATTGCCATAGCAAAGTGGGTGGCTCATTCTTTCACAATTCTGGAGGCTAGGAGTCTGGACTTGTTGTTGGTGGGGCCTTTTCCTCTGTGGATTTTGAGAGAGAATCTGTTCTGTGTCTCTTTCAGTGTTTGCTTGCTTGGCGATCCTTGCTTTGTAGATACATCATTCCAACTTCTGCCTGACTTCACATGGTATTCTCCACTGTGACTATGTCTCTGTGTCTTAGCCTCTCTCTCTCTTTAAAAAATTTATTTATTTGGCTGCACTGGGTCTTAGTTGCAGCATGCGAGATCTTCAGTTGATCTTCAGGGATCTAATTCCCTGACCAGGGATCGAACCTGGGCCCCCTGCATTGGGAGCCTGGAGTCTAATTAGTCACTAGATCACCAGACAGTAGCTTTATCCTCTTTTCATAAGGATCCTTTTTTTATATTGGATCTAGTTCACCCTATTTCAGTATGATCTCAACTTATGTACATTTGCAAAGATCTTATTTTTAACTTATGTACATTTTCAAAGATCCTATTTCCAAGTAAGTTCACAGGTACCAGAGGTTAGAACTTGACTATATTTTGGGGGGAATGAATGCAATTAAATCCACAATAGTCAGTAACCTTGCCTTCTGAATTTTAGTTGGGTTAGGCCATTGAGAAGCATGGGCAGAAGATCAGAGGGAAGGAAGAACGTAAGATTAGGCAATGAATTTCCCTAGCTCTGTACTTTCGGGGTCACCATGGACTGCCTTCAGTGGTGAGCTGGCGATCACAGCTCTTGAGAGGTGGTCCTCTCCACATAACCTCACTCTCTTATTCATATTTGTTCTCCCTTTGCCTCTTTAGAAAAACTATGGATGGTAAAAGCATCTCACGGTTACTAGTCTGGGAGTATTTCATTCTACTTATGATTTCCCTACCCTCTGCTCAAACCATTGGACATAATCTTTATATAAAGTTTCCACAAATTACCTAATTTGAGTTCTGTCTTGTTCCTACTAGGATCTTGATGGAAACAATGACAGTATTTTTTATTTTAGAACAATTGCTTAGGTAAAGGAGGCAAGAAAGGAGGTACTGAGACTTAAGAGGAAGATAGAATGATAATTCAGGTAAGAGATGATTAGACCTAAACTTGGATGATACCAGCTATGATGGAGAGGAGAGGGGAAACACAAGATATTTGGGAACAGAATTAATATGACTGGGGCCAATCCTCATCACCCATCAGATTTACCCTCACCGAATACTTATTAAGTAAGGGGATATTCTGTCCTGTAGTTTTTCTGGAACCAATTTCAAAAAAATGGAAGATTTGTAGATCAGCAGAAGGGAAGCAAGCAGTATAGGTACCCCCCAGGCTTTCAAATAATGTGACATGGAGGCAGGTTTGAAGGAACCAGGAATGGTTCGAGTTTTTAAGGGTTTCAGTGTCCTGTCCCATTGGGTCAAGATGGCATTTCGGGCTCCATCCCATTTCCCGGGGCCCATTAGGCGATACTGGTAAGGAGTACATGGTCCAAAGAAAACTTCCCATGCTAGTCTGGGATCCTTGATGAACAGAAGTGGGATGTTGGGCTTTACGCCTATGAAGGAAGCGAGGTCATCCAGGTAGGAAATGTAGTCAAGTTTGTCTGCACTGGCATCTTTCATCAAACCCCTGAGAGGGAAGAAGATGGATCACTTGATGTTCAAGTTATGAGTTTCCCCACCTCCCACCATTTTGTTTCTTTCCACTGGAGTCAAACCATGTTGGGAATGTTTTCCTATGTTGGAGAGAAAAAAAAAAGTTTATTTGCATAGGGTATTTGTGAGTGTAATTAATTTTGTTAAAGGAGATGGCAGAAGAAGATGATTGGAAGTGGAGCTTTAAGTAATGTTTCCGGTTCTTGAATTTGATATGAGGGTCGAATCAGATCAGTCCAGATGCCTCAGTTATTGAACAAATAAATATGATCAGAATGCATCACATATATAACCACCTGAATTATTTTTATTGATGTTAATTGTGAGTTGAGAGGATCATACTTGGTGCAGCAGAACTGAACATGACACAGATGTAGGTACAGTTGACCCTTGAATAATGAGGGGGTTGGGGTATCAACCCCCCATATAGTTGAAAATCTAAGTGAAACTTGACTCCCCTCAAACTTAACTACTAATAAATTATTAGTAAACTAAAGGCCATACTGATAGCGTAAGCAGATTAACACATATTTTGTATGTTATATGATCCTATACTGTATTCTTAGAGTAAACTGAGAAAAGAAAATGATATTAAGAAAACCATAAGAAAGAGAAAATATATTTACAGTACCATACTGTACTCAATACTATAAGTTTATGTTGTCTGTTTATAAGATGAATTATCTATTGGTACCTACATCAATATTGTCTTATATGATACAAAACACTGTAGATGTTGTTTGTATTTCTAACGCTGGACATCAAAAATGAAAAGATAATGTGAAGAAGAAATTCACATTTATTTACAAGTATAATGAATCATACATTGATAATGAAGAAGCAGTAGCAATATGATTATTTCATGGAAACCTGGCCTACATAATAATGAATGAATCATTATAAAATTTTTATGGTGTATGGTATTATAGTCATATTCATAGTACAGTATTGGAAACATTGTTACATTAAAAAAACCCCACTTACCTGTGATGATGGACTCTTTCTCCAAATATGAAAGAAAGAGGCATATTGTACAGTAATATAATTCTTTGAAATCAAAGTTAGAAACCAATAAGAAACCAATAAGAAAGCTAACACATTATTAATTTTATATTACTGTAAATGTCACTCACCTTATACCTATGCAAGGATGGGCTATCCACTCCCTGCAAGTCTTACACATGAAGTTCTATATGATAAATACTTAAGCAGTGATGGTGATGATGACACAAAAACTTCTCTTCTCTTCTTGCTGTACAGGTTTAGATTTTCACATGAAGACACATACACAACAGATAAATCTATTAACAGTGGGGCATGATGATTATTTACTATTCTTTAAGAGGAAGTGGATCATCATAAAGGTCTTTATCCTTGTTGTCTTCACATTGAGTAGGCAGAGGAGGAGGAAGGTAGGGGTTGATCTTGCTGTCTCAGGGTGGCAGAGGGAGAAGAGGTGAGGAGGTGGAAGGGGATGCTGGAGAGACAGGCATGTGTCGTGTAACTTTATGGAAATACTTATGTAACTTTATGGAAATACACTATAATTTCTGTCTGACTTTTTTGCTTTTTCACTTCTTTTAAAAATGTTTTTATATGATAACCAATTTTTCTTCCATCATTTGCTTAAGTTTCAGTGCCTGTATCATAGAAGGGTCCATGCTGTAAAAGAAGTCAAAATCAGTCTTAAATAACTGGAATCCTTTTGCCAGATTGTCTGATGTCAATTTGCTTTCTGGCACTGCTTCTCCTGTGTCTTCTTCCTCAGCCTCTTGCCCTGGTTTGGAAGCACTCATCCCCCTATCAAATTGTCTTCTGTCAACTCCTCTGGCGTGGGGTCTATTAGCTCTCGAATTTCTCCAAGATCCTTATCTTGAAACCCTTCACTACCCACCTTCCCCCCCCTCCCATGTCTACAGTCTCCTTCATGATTTCCTTGACTGGCTCCATTGTAAACCCTGTGAAGTCACACACAACGTCTGGACATGGTTTTCTCCGGCAGGAATTTACTGTTTCAGGCTTGGTGGCTTTCACTTTTTCTCTAACAACGATGGCATCTAAAGTGGTGTGATCCTTCCAGGCTTTCACGATATCCTCTTTATTGGGATTCTTTTCCATAGCACTGACAGTCATTTCCATAGAGCACTTCAAACGCTTTGTGTTCTGGGTGGCCAGGGGAGTATCCAATATCAAAAGAACTTTCAAAGACAGTCACTTATTGCCAAGGTGCTTTCTGATTTTAGGGACAGAGCAGTGAAGGAACTGGGTTTAATCCAGAAAAAGGGTTATCATTGTCCAGGCCTTCTTCTTGTACAATGAAAAGACTGGTAGCTGGTATTTATTTATCTTTTCCCTTAAAGGTTGGGGGGGGGGAGGGGCGGTTAGCAGTTTTACAGTTAAGGGCAGTCCTGACTGTGAACCCATCTTCTAGAGAAAGGAATGGCAACCTACTCCAGTATTCTTGTCTGGAGAACTCCATGGACAGAGGAGCCTGGCGGGCTATATAGCCCATTGGTCACAAAGAGTCAGACACGACTGAACAACTAACGTGACCATGAACCCGACTGTATTTACACATGAATGTAGAGTTAGCCTATGCTTTCCTGCCTTAAATTCTCGTGTTCAGTTTTCCTCTCTAATAATAAATGTCCTTTGTGGCATTCTGCTATCCGCCATCCCTAGGATAGGGCACTCTTGTCTGCATTAAACACCGCTTCAGGCAGATATCCTTTTTCTCCAGTGACTGTCTTAACAGCATCCTGGAGCTCTGTCTGCTTCCTCTTGGTCAACAGAAGCTGCTCTTCCTATTATCTTGACTTTCTTTTTTAAAGACCCTGCTTTCTAAAATCAGGAAACCATCCTTCTCTAGCATTAAGTACTTCTTCACGTTTCTCTTGCTTTCAGTCGTCATATAACGACTTCACTATTTTTCAAATCTATAAAAGTCCATAAGTATGCCTTTCCTATAGCAATCCTGCACACATATAAAAGCTGCATTTTCAACACAAGGTGAAAAAATATTTCACAAAAAGTGCAAGATTTTCATGCCTGCTGGCACAGGTACAGTGATGCCTTCACAAATTTTCTTTTTTATAATGGTCCTTATGCTGAATTCATTTATTGTGAAATGACAGACAACTGCAGCTGCAGACCTCAGTCTATAGTACATGTCAAGCAATTCAACTTTTCTTGTAAATTTGGGACTTTTTTCTGCTTCTTGGGAGCACTTCCACCATTACTAGTGGCACTCTAATGGGTCCCGTGTTGTGATTCAAGGTTTACATTATTGCACGAATCACAATGAAAAATACATGAGAAATGTGAGAGATCACTTTTCACTGTGATATGAAATTTGCTGGAGAGATGAACTGTTCATGCAGAGATGATTAGGGTCATATATATGACATATTAAGCAGATATGTGAAACACTTGAGCTCATCACAATAGCAACAGAAGGTAGCTATGAAATTACTGCAGTACTGCTACAGTTAAATTTATGCTGTTATGATTTAACACTGCATCTTTACACTGTTTGGGTTTCCCATGTGGCTCAGTGGTAGAGAGTCTGCCTGCCAATGCAGAAAACACGGGTTTGATCGCTGGGTTGAGAAGATCCCCTAGAAGAGGAAATGTCAACCCACTCCGGTATTCTTGCCGGGATTATCCCATGGACAGAGGAACCTGGAGGGATGCAGTCTGTGGGGTCACAGAGTCAGACACGACTGATTGAGCACACATGCATGGTTTATACTTATTTATATTTATCTTGCTTGTGAATGCACAATGTAGGATCTGTGTTTCTGTGTGCAAGTTTTGATAAATGTTAAATTTTATAATAGATTTTTATATATTTGATGACAGTAAATGATAAAATAGACTAATATCTACCTATATTTTGCGCATTCATGACATATCTAACTTTTTCTTAATTTTTTCAATATTTCTAGGCTTTGTGATTTATCTGCCAGTGTTTTCAAATTGTCACAAACCTCCCTCAATTTTTCCAATATATTAAAAAAAAAACTGCGTATAAGTGGACCCATGCAGTTCAAACCTGTATTGTTCAAGGGCCAAATGTATAGTGTATAGGAAGTTTCTATCCCTATCTATTTCTGTTATTAGTAAATTTTCATGATGTGCCAATGTCATTCTTTCACTTATTCATTCATTACTTCAATCAGTCAATCAGTCTTAAGTGTCTGTCACATGACAGGCATTATCCTAGGTGTTAGGAGTCCAGCAGTGAGTAAAACAAAGTCTTTGCTGTCAAGGAACTTACATTCCAACAGGGCAGAGCAGCAGGCTGTGAAAAACCCAGCCAGGGACTTTCCTGCTGGTCAGTGGTTAAGAGTCAATGCTCCCACTATAGGGGGCATGGGTTCTATTCCTGGTCAGGTAACTAAGATCCTGTATGCCACTTGGCACAGTGAAAAACAAATTAAAAAAGCAACAACAAAACCCCAGCCAAACAGATATAGAATATATCAAGTATTAAGAGGAATTATGAAGACTTACAAAGACAGGTAAAGGGGAGAGGCAACGATGAGACTGGGTGGGTTGCCATTTCACGCAGTGTTCTTAGAGAAGGCTTCTCTCTGATGAGGGGGTATTTGAACAGAGTGAGGCAACAGGTATGGGGTAGGGGGCAGAACATTCCAGGCAGAGGAGACAGTAAGTGCAAAGGTTCTGGGGCATGCCTGAAGCCCACGGAGCTGTCTGGAGTGACTGGAGTAGTGTGAGAAAGGTGGGAGAACAGGAGACAATGAGGGCATAGAGGGAGCTGTTGCCTGGATGGGTGCAGAGCTGCAGGGAAGTTTCTGGGAGTGAAATGGGAAGCAGAGGGTTTTCAACAGAAGAGCAATGTGGCATTGTTCACTCTTATGTGGAGTCAAGAGGAGACCATAGAAGAGAAGAGACGAGGCACAGAGACAAGATAAGAGGTGACCGCAAGTGTCCTGGTGAGAGGCCATGGTGGCCTGTTCTGGGGTGGTTAGTAGCCAGGGTAGTGAGAGGGGCTGGATTCTGAATTTGTCTGAGGGTAAGAGTTAACAGTATTTGCTGAGGATGTGACAGAAAAAGAGGAAAAAAGATCACTCCAAGGTTTTTGACTGTTCAACTGGAGTAAGTAGCCATCGACCGAGAAGGGGAAAGCCTCAGAGCAGCCCACGTGCCGCTGGAGGTTGAGGGTTAGTTTCCAGACATGTTGGATTGGAGACACCAGGACTTCCCTGGTGGCCAAGTGGTTAAGAATCCACCTTGCACTCGGGTTCAATCCCTGGTCAGGGAACTATGATACCACGAGTCACAGAGAATCAAAGCCCACGTGCCACAACAAAAGATCTCATATGATGCAGTGAAGATCCTGTGTGCCACAATGAAGACCTGAGGCAGCCAAATACATAATAATTTTTTTTTTTTAAGTTCGAGATACCTATTACATATCTTAAGTGTAGATACCTAGAGGGAGTTGTTTTAGGATTTGGAATTCCAAGGAGAGATCTGGGTTAGAGACCCAAGTTTGGGAGCCATGAGTACATGATGTTATTTAAAGCCACAGGCCTGGTGAGGTTACCCACTAGTGTTATCAGGAGTAAGAAGAGGTCTGAGGATTAAGGTTTGGGTTCACCAATTTTTAGGAGTGAGGAAGAGGAAACACTTGTAAATATAGAGAAAGAATGGCCTGAGAAGTAGGAAAACAAAGAGAACAGGGTTTTGGGGCCAAGCCTCTTGATGAAAGTGAAAGAGGAGAGTGAAAATGTTGGCTTAAAGCTTAACATTCAGAAAACTAAGATCATGGCATCTAGTCCCATCACCTCATGGGAAATAGATGGGGAGACAGTGTCAAACTTTATTTTTTGGGCTCCAAAATCACTGTGGATGGTGACTGCAGCCATGAAATTAAAAGATGCTTACTCCTTGGAAGGAAAGTTATGACCAACCTAGATAGCATATTAAGCGTGCTGTGATTCATGGGGTCGCAAAGAGTCGGACACGACTGAGCGACTGAACTGAACTGAACTGAAACAAAGGATTGCAATTGTCTAGGGCCAGGTTCTGTGTTCTGCTGAGGCGACCTGAAGCCCCTACCAGGCACATCATCTAAAGCCAAAAATCAAATTTTTGTTTTGACTGCACTGTGTGACATGCAGGGATCTCAGTTCCCTGACCAGAGACTGAACTCATGCCCCCCTGCAGTGAAAGCATGGAGTCTTAACCACTGGACCACAAATCTAGCTGGTGGAAGAGTTAGGATGAAAAATATATTCTTCTGGCTCATAATGCAATTATTTCCAACTTGCCCCACTGCTTCCCTAGGAGTGGCTTTTATATTGAAAAAAATGTTTTGTAGTGAAATATAATGGTAAATTTTCCCTGTAGCAGGCTATTTTTCATACCTTTCTATGAGCTGCTCCTTCTTCATAGCCTCAGCCATCAGTTTTTGAGATGGTGGTATCTTACAGAGTCCTGTGAGAAAAGCCAGAAGAACAACACCAAAGTCACATGTGGCTCTTCCTTTGAGTTCTCTTCCCCCTCATTTCTGGCCTCCCACTGCTTCAACCTCAGAACATGTGATTGCAAAAGCTTAGAATGGGATTGGGGCTTTCCCAAGGTGGTAAAGAATCTGCTTGCAATGCAGGAGCTGCAAGAGATGTGGGTTTGATCCCTGGGTCAGAAGATTCCCTGGAGGAAGGCATGGCAACCCACTCTGGTATTCTTGCCTGGAGAATTTCATGGACAGAGGGCCTAGCAGGCTATAGTCTCTGGGATCGCAAAGAGTCAGACAACGACTGAGCAACTTAGCACAGCACACAGTACAGAGTGGGAATAGAGTACAGAGGATAATTTTCTGGAGGTAAAATCCCTCTCTGAACTCACTTAACCAGGCTACTTACTAATCTACATGAGAAAGCTCTGATTTAGCCCTGGAGTGTACTTGCCACTGGGATCATTGTATCCTGTATAAAGCTGTAAAGATTCCACTTGGTGGTACCCACGTTTCCCTTGCAGGGTCTCTGGAGAGGCATGCAATCACTACTGTGGTGTGATCTAATAAAGTTTTGTTTTGTCAGTTCTATCATTCTCATAAGCATTTTTGAGCTCATTATAAAACACTTAAAAAACCCAGGTAATATAATTTAAAAAGACACATGTGCCCCAATGTTCACTGCAGCAGTATTTATAATAGGTAGGACACAGAAGCAAACTAGATGTCCATTGACAGATGAATGGATAAAGAAGTTGTGGTACATATATACAATGGAATATTACTCAGCCATGAAAAGGAATGAATTTGCATCAGTTCTAGTGAGGTGCATGTGTGCATGATAAGTTGCTTCAGTCATGTCTGACTCTTGTGACCCTTGGACTGTAGCCCACCAGGCTCCTCTATCCATAGGATTCTCCAGGCAAGAATACTGGAGTGGGTTGCCATGCCTTCCTCCAGGGGATCATCCCAACCCAGGTGGATGAACCTGAAACCTGTTATACAGAGTGAAGTAAGTCAGAAAGAGAGAAACAAATATTGTATATTAACTCATATATATGGCATCTAGAAAAATGGTACTGATGAGCCTATTTGTGGAATAGGAATAGAGACACAAAGAGAACAGACTTGTGGACACAGCAGGGGAAGAGGGTGGGATGAACTGAGAGAATAGCACTGAAACATATATATTACCGTATGTAAAACAGATTGCTAGTGGGAATTTGCTAGTGGGAACTGGCACTCATCTTGGTGCTCTGTGACAACCTAGCGGGGTGGAATGGGGTTGGGGGGGTGGGAGGGAGGCTCAAGAGGGAGAGAATATATGTATACTTATGGCTGACTCATGGTGTTGTATGGTAGAAACCAACACAACATTGTAAAGCAATTATTCTCCAATTAAAAAAATAATTACCCCCCCAAAACCCAGGTACTTGAGTCTTCTGTGTTTTTAATATAATTGGAGAATGCTGTAAAAGCACTTTAATTTGGCTTAAATAAACATTTGGATAATTTAATAAAAGACCATGGAATTTTTTGTGTAATACAAATAAATGAGATTCCTAATCACCTTCTCCTCCCTTCACTCCACCTCCTGCCACCACCCCATTAAAATACTATGGCTGTCAATTTAGGAGAACATTTTAAAGTATAGTTGATATACATTACATTTGTGCAGTGTGAGGGAAGTTGGTACTACTTAATACTGTATTATATGCTATTTATAAATTATTGATGATTTTTATTCACTAAGGGCAAAATTCTGCTAAAGGACAAATTATTGGCTCAACTGTGATTATTGTTTATATTTTTACAAATGTAATAATACAAATCCAATTCTTTACAATGCTTATGTATGTAAAACTTGCCCTGGAGAGGTATGATAATAATAGTAAAAGTAAGAATGACAGCTGTCAGTTAATGAGCATTTACTCTGTGCCAAGTACTGTGTTAATTGCTTTGTAGACATTATTCATTTTACAAAACTCTTATGAGAGAGGTTTTATTATTCCCATTTTAACAAAGGGGCTGAAATTTAAAGAGGTTCTTGCAAAGCTAATGAGTTGGGATTGGACTGGGATTGGACTCTGGTAGCCCTGACTCTGTCACTTGTGTTCTGACAGTGATAACTGACAACCATCAGTGCCCAGGGTCTACAGTGTTTATATGGGCATTTCTTGAAAGTCACTATCTTCTTAGACCCCAACTTTATTCACAGTGTATATTACTCCCAATTTCTTTCTTAAGAAGCAATATAAAACTCTACTGCTAGTGATAAATGGAAAGATAGGAGTAAACAGACTAGACTAGACTTGATTCAACTGCAGCAGAAGAAAACGGGATCCTGAGTACTCCCTCAGCTACTCTGAGAAGTGTGATTATTCTGTTGTTAAGGTTTATCCTATCCACAGAGTCAAATCCTCTTTTCCCACTCACTTTCCCCACTCACATTAGTGATATAAGCACAGTCACTATAATATTACATACATACAAAATTAATTCTTCATTAAATTTTTTTTTGGATATTTTATGGTACTTTAGCTCACATTTGTTGGATTTTAGATCAGTCTCAAGGGACTGATTTCAAGACTCAGTTCACAATGGGCTTTAAGTAGAGTCCAGGTACCTTTGAATACTCTTGTGGCCCATCGCGCTTGGAGCTCTGTGCCTGCTAAGATGGATCCTGTAAGGTGGATGAAGCCAATCATAGCTAATGTTGTCTTCTCTAGGTTTGCGGGAAAGACCAGCTTATATAGGAATACCTTCTTTGTACAAAGGGTTTTGAGAGGTTCTTCAAAAAAGGGAAAAGAATATGTGTATCCTGTAGTGAAGATCACAGCATCAATGTTTTCTTCCACTGTCCTGTCTTCAAAGACAGCAGAGGTTTCTGTGAACTCCTTCAGGCTGGTTTTAATAGTGACTGTCCCACAGAGGATACAGGTTGGCAGCTCATCATTCACAATCATTTTTGGTTTTTTCCTTTGACACAGAGGAGAAAATTATTCACGTAGCTATATTTATGAGACACTCATCAAATGATTTATTTAGTCAGTTCAAAATAATTACCTGCCAAGTCAAGGGAGTAAATTGACTAATGTCTAATTGTCTATTCTCAAGTTGTCACTTGCTGTTTCTATAACAAGTTTTGTTTTCCTGCTCCCAGTAGAAGGCATGTAGAAATTGACTAAACCTATTTTTTCCTGTGTGGTTTAAAATTCTCTCTCCCTTGGAATTAATTTCTGGAGCAATGTCAGGATCAAGTATATGACAGTCCATTTGATAATCAGTTTTGGATCTCACATCACCCAGGCCTCAAAGATTGACATTTGGCAAAGAGGAAATTGCAGAAAACTTTTTGGATTAAAAAATTTGTATCTATTTACTAATGGATTTTCATTGTGAACATATTTTCATATATGAACATTTTCATATTTTCATTATGAGCATCATTCTACCTAATTGCAGCAGACAAGATGTCTATAAAATTTATATATTGAATCATTCATTGTTATTCATTTTTTCCATAAGTGAAAGCCATCTTACCAAAGAAAAACTATTTGGGTCAAGCATTTAATAAAAATCACAACTTTATATGCATTTCCAAGGTTTTCTTTTTTCTTGCCAGTGTGTAGGGCTATACAGATGTATATTAAAATATATAATTCTAGGGATTCCTTTTGGCAATTCATACTTCTAATCATTCAGCGAGTGTGGACATTTATTAAAGGTTAGTGAGAGCTGGCCATCTGTGCTCACTGGTGCTGTTATTTACTTGTGAATGGTAGCCAACCTGAGAACACTCAAGGCCACTTTAATCCTGATTTTCAAACTGGAAATAAAGTTTCCATCCTTCTTTCTTCATTTACTAGTCTGCTACCAGACAGAGAATACTCCTATTTCAAGACCTTCTGTGGTACTGATGGACATTGTCTTAAGAAAATAAGCTTAGAAAAGGATAAACAAAGGCAAAGTCACAATTATTGGACATTTTAAGTTCTGAATTAAAGAGAATGAGAAATATTGATTAAATAACTTTACCATTAAATAAAAATATAATTAAATACCCCTTAGTAATATTTAATCCGTAATTCACATGGTCAAATCTTTTATTGAGGCGCCTCTCTTGAATCCACTTCAGAATACAGGAGGGCAGAACTTGTGCAATAAAGTTGTGGTGTCTTCTTAAAACCATCATATTAAATGGGTAGCCCCCATCTGAAGAGCGGTTGATAACCCAGGTACCAGTTCTAGTACTGAGAAGTACCTAAAAATAAGGCAAGAAGGCTAAATACATGTACATCATTTTGTAGTATTTTTCTTCAGTATATTTCAAGTGGTCTTATAACATTCTGGTCTTATAACAACAGAGGACTAGTGAATTTGTACACAGATCTACAAATGACTGGGCTTCCCTGGTGGCTCAGTTGGTAAAGAATCTGCCTGCAATGCAGGAGACCCGGATTCGATCGCTGGGTCAGGCACATCCCCTGGAGAAGGGAACGGCAGCCTGCTCCAGGGTTCTTGCCTGGAGAATTCCATGGACAAAGGAGCCTGGTGGTCTACAGTCCATGGGGTTGCAAAGCGTAGGACATGACTGAATGATTAACACTACCTACAAATGACTAGTTATTCCAACTGCTGTCATTGTTTTCATAATCACTTTGACTAACCTATGTATCAGTTAAATATTCTCATCATGTTTAAAGAATAGTAGATATGTGCTGTTTATCTGGCAATTTTTTACATAAATAATATGGAATTTAAAGTGAGTTTTGAGATAGCAATTTTAGCTGAATTAAATAAAAATCTACTATTTCCACATCTAATCATTGTCTTATAACATGATAAAGTGGAATAGATTTCTAATTGGTGAACCTATGCTTGGGATTTCTAAAATCATTATGTATACATCTTGGGCAAAGTAAGAGGTGCTTTTACCTCAAAACAAAGTATAAGTCTGACTCCTAATTGAAGAGATGTTCAGAAAACAAACTCCCTTTTCCCTTTGTATGTGGGAGTTTTTCCAGAATTACTGAGACTATGTAAAAGAAAGATAGTTGATGTGGGCAGAGCAATTTGCCCATTTGACCTTGTTCCAGGAGCTCCTCTGAAAAATACCTAGTGGTTTGGCATCCATACAGTTTTCCTCGACCCTTCTTGGAGATGGTTCAGTTCTGTAAAGCATGCATCACAAAAGGCTTTACGGATTTTCAAGATTTCCTTTTCTCATTTACCCTGTTTCCACATAATTTAGCAAATGTGGAATTCAGCAATTCCACATAATTTCAACATATTTTGGCCAGTGTGTTTTATATCCTTGAATACCACCTTCCGGACCCCAGAAGTGATGCTGGGGGTGGGAATGCAGATTCAGAGATGGTGTACCTGAGCTGCGGTTCGACTGAGCTCCACGGCAATGTCTGCTCCAGTGTTTCCAAGACCAATCACTAAGATGCGTTTGCCCTGAAAGCCTGCTGGGATCTTGTACTCTTGGCTGTGTAGGATCTGGCCTTTAAACTTATGGATTCCTGAGGGGAAGGAGGGATCAGAAATATCTAGAGTTATAACTCCTTTAGTTGGCAGGCATAGGATCTTTGGGAAAGGGGGCATCTCAGTAACATGGCAGCACTTTGCTTCTGCTGCCAATTGCAGGAAGTAGAATCAGTGTACCATCTGCTAGCCCACTGGATACTGTAAGCCCAGATATTGGTGTAGTACAACATGCCTTGTGAAAAACATAGGAGAACTTATATTTCTGTGTGTTCCATTTTAAAGCAATTAGGGAAATCAAGCTTACTGTAGACGATAATAAGAAACATCTCATGCATGACCCTGAACATCCTAGACAAGAAGAATTGGGTTAGCCAAGTTCATTTGGGTTTTTCTGGATGATTGTATGGAAAAACCCACACAAACTTACTGGACAACCCAATAAATTGTTGATGCTTTATTTTACCCAACAGTATACTCTACCAGAATGTGATTTATGAATACATTAATAACATATTTACAGATTGAATTAAAACTCCTTAAATTTTGTAGCATGTTTTCATGTAAGTAATTATTCTTGTTATTTAGGCTTGTTACTTAGTGCTTATTTTACTGTGTGTTTTATTACACACTTATTGAACTTTCCAGGTGGCTCAGTGGTAAAGAATCCACCTGCCACCTTGGGTTCAATCCCTGGGTTGGAAAGATCCCTGGAGTAGGAAATGGCAACCCACTCCAGTATTCTTGCCTGGGAAATCTCATGGAAAAAGGAGCCTGGTGTGCTGCAGTTCACGGTATTGCAAAGAGTTGGACACAACTGAGCATGTATGCATACACTTTCTTTTTTTATTATACTATATGCTTATTTATAACTTTATTCTTTTGTTATTTATATTTATATTTCTCACTGATCTTTCAAACTCCAAACACTGTCAACAGAAGTATCACTATTATGATATTTATATACTATATATGAAAAGGGCTACCAAATATTTCTTCTCATGATTTTTTTTGGAAGTTATCTTATTGGCATCTATAACAGACATAAACTGTGGGTTCATACAATACTAAGAATTGTAGTAACAGTGGCAGCTGAGCTATTTACAGTGGTGGCTGTCACTGGCAAAGTCCATTAACAATTCCCAAGAAATAGAAGTAGAATCTGAGTAATAAAGTCTCACCTTTTTCTTTTCCTTTGTACTTAGTCTAGTTTCACTTGATTATAGGATATCCTGTGCAGAGGCCTTGTACCCAGCATTTCAGACTAGAGTTCCTAGTGTGAAAAGGCTGCGCCTCATCCTTAGGCTCAGCAGAACATGTGTAGAAAGTGCTGTGCGGGATGCCTCTATTTGAGATGGTGGCAGGGTGTGATGGGCAGAGATGCTGCACCTGGCACTATGATCTGGAGCCATGAGCAGCGCGGCTGTGCCTGAGCCTTGAGAACTCCACACTCTTTCCCACTGATGAGGTACCTATAAAGCAGCCCCAGAGTCGGCCTGTTGGGGAAAGCTCTTCTTGAGAGCACAATCTCACACATCTCCATTCTCTGATGAGAGAATAAAACTTACTTTTACTTTTGATCTGACTTGGTTTCATTCTTATTGGCTTGAATGATTTGGGGCAGGAATATTGCTGGGGACTGACTCAAAAGGGTCAGTCTAACCCCCAGTTAGATCGGAGTCCATGCCATTTCGACACCTCCCATTTTAGTTTTTTGAGGAATCCATTAACAGTTTGGTGCTGGTTCCAAATTTCCTGAAATGGAAGTCTTAGTAGTAGTTGTAGTCTTTTTATGTCAAATCATGTAGAATCATGATCAAATCACTTCAACTGCTCCCCTTGATAGTATGAAACAAATCCAAGACAGAACATCTAAGTTATGGGGAACCAGGTGTCTGCCATACAGAAGGACAGCTCATTAGGGTGCATTCTGCAGAACCGGAAGTTTCTGGGTATTGCTCCCTGACTCAGGAATATTTCTGTAGGAAAGAAACCTGTCCATTGGAAAAAGATTAGGTAAATCAATCAAGAGTCAACAGAAAACCTTTGGCATTCCTTCAGGTACTTCAGGCAATGCCTCCAAATCTATACTACCACTTATCCTGAGTCATGGGAAGGGAATGCCAAACAAAAGAAGAATGATGGGGACAGGAAGCTGCTAAACTGGCACTCCAGCTGACCCCAGGAGCCCCAGTGGACATTCGACAGAGGGAGAAAGCCTGTCAAATTCTTAGTTGACACTGGTGCTACCTACTGAGTTCTGAACATCAAATCAGGAACACTCAGTCACAAGACATGTAGAATTATGGGGCTATCAGGGGAGGCCCATGAATGGGTATTCATAGGACCATCAGAGTGTAAAGTGGGCAAACATAGGCTCATCCCCTCCTTTCTGTATGTTCCCACACACCCCATACTCCTGCCAGGAAGGGATATCTTAATAAATTGGGGGCTACTATACACCTAATGGGAAACAAATTGGAGATTGGTATTCCCTTAGACAAAGGGCACAAGATGATAATGTTAATAATGGCTGATGACAAACCTTCCCAGACAGAGCAAGTTAATCTCCTTGGAATAAATCTGAGATCTGAGCCCAAGCATGGGTGGGATAAGCTGCAGAAGCCAGTTTCATGATAATCCACCTAAAATGTGTATATAAATGGCCCAATAGAAAACAGTACCCTCTCCATTGGGAAGTCTTGTTGGATACTGCCCTATCACATGGCCTAACTGTCCAGGGCCTTATTAGAACATGCCTAGCAGCATATAATACCTCCATTCTCCCCATAAAGACATCCAATGGGAATTAACATATGGTACAGGACCCCAGGGCCATCAGTGAAGCTGCTGAGGATATACATCTAGTAGATTCTAATACTACGCACTACTGGTTACTCTACTGTCCCCTGGGACCTGGAAGTCTGTATCAGATTTATTTTTTTCATTTATTTTTATTAGTTGGAGGCTAATTACTTTACAGTATTGTAGTGGGTTTTGTCATACATTGACATGAATCAGCCATGGATTTACATGTATTGCCCATCACGATCCCCCCTCCCACCTCCCTCTCCACTCGATTCCTCTGGGTCTTCCCAGTGCACCAGGCCTGAGCACTTGTCTCATGCATCCAACCTGGGCTGGTGATCTGTTTCACCCTAGATATACATGTTTCGATG